ATTGAATTAAGAAAACAAATGCCAAATAAAAATTTGCCTATTTTAAGCAAAAAATAAATAAAAATAAAATGAATAAAATAAACAAATAAATAAAATATATCAATCTTAAGCTTTATCATATTTACCAAAGAGAACCAGTTAAAGATTAATTGTATACTATTATAAACAAATTGAATTTGTAATAATATTTTACGATAAAGCAGCTATCCAGATCTCCAAATATGAGTAAATTTGGCAATAGAATAGAACGTAGTAAAGAAAGATCTATTCAACCAGTGATGACGTTGGGAAATAAATTTAGGCATATTGTCTGTAATATCAGTTTCTGCTTTAGCTAACTAAATAATAAAAATTTGAATATGTAAATATTTAAATAAAATAATTATGGTGCAAGACATCTATACTCAACAGTTGTTTTAATTTTTTATAACTTTTTATCTAAGAAGTTTTAAATTTTATAGAGCTATTCAAATATCATTTCAAAATCTCACATCACTGTAAAAAGTGATGAGATTTTGAAATGATATTTGGCATACATGTAGAGCTAATTTAGCTCTATAAAGTTAGATAAAAGTTATATCTAGTTAAAAATTGAAACACTTTGCGATATGTCTTGCACCATATTAAATTGTAACAGAGGATAAAGACATAATTTGTAAATTTTTTGCCTGTCTGCACGCGTGTTCATAATTTAGTGTAATAAAATATACATAACAATGCTACACATTTTTCTAGTAAATTAGATTGTTACCTTTATGTATTTTAATTTCCACGATTCATTTTTCTTAATGACAAGCTCAAAACTTAAAATATGATCTTCTGCCAGGTACATGTTTGCTTCGAATATACCAGTCTTAGTAGCATCTAAATCATTATACATAGTCTTACCTTTAAGGTATTTTTCCAAAGGTCCATTCTTTAATACTTCATATTGGTATGTGGAGAAAGCTCCTGATAATACTGAGATATAACCAAAAACAGATTCTGACAGCTTGTCTAAGATATTAGATATTTTATATTCAAAATTTTGAGACACGATTAAAGGATTAAGAAGGTTTCTACATTTATGACCAAGATCTACTTTAATTTCTTCACAAGCACCACCAACATCATTATCACGATCAAAAGCTGAAAATATATATATCGATATAAATATTAATGCGAAAGCAATTGTCATAGGTAATGCTGAAATTAGCTGATGCTAAGATCTAAGAGTGCCAACTTCAAGCAAAATTAAATAAGCATATCTTTCCACAAGTGGTAAACTGAGGTTTTCAAGGATTTTGTGTTCACATCAAATAAAATACAAATTTTTGGATTCAAAAGAGCCGCAAAGGCTTTGAAAGACCAACAATGAGAATTTATTTTTTTTGCATTTTTTTGTTTTAAACAAAACATAACTTGTACTGGAATTGGGCTCCTTTGGACATTAAGATCATCATCGAACATTAATTGTGTAGTATATTCAAAAAGATGTGCAGTAACAGGTCTACGATTGTTGACACGATCTTGCACAATTCCATCTTGATAACAACCTATAACACTCAGAACACTTAGAGTATATTTATTGATTTTATTACGACCATCTAAAACTATTAACACAACAATTTTTTTCCAACCTTCATCTTCCAAGTTTTTGATTTTTTTGAACAAATATATTCTACATTTTGGATGACAGAAGACATTGTTTTAATAAAGTGAGTATAGTTTTCATTATGCATTGTAATAATTATCATTATTTCAGTAGAAGTGTTTTTTGTCGAATTGTATATTTTTTATTAACAAAATTGTCTAGGTCGCATGCGATGGCTGTGTATCTTACTTGCGTAAATTCTTCATTATATTTTTTTGAGACTTGATCAAGAACCTATGTAGGTACAGGATGGTCAAATACCAAGTTTCTATTTGTAAGAGTGATATTCTAGAAATGGTCAAAAAAAAAAATAAAAAATAAAATAAATAAATAAAAAATCAAAATAAATGTAAAAAACTAAGAAATTTGTAAATCAAAAATTAGTTATCTTCTTAGTTATCTAAAATGGTAAAAAATAAAAATTAAAATAAAAAATTAAAATAAAATAAAAATCGAGAGATTTGTAAAATAAAAATAAAAATTAGATACCTTCTTTTTTTTTCCATTATTAGAAGAACACTAATTCAAATAAAAGTGGAAACAGGTTTGCGATCAAAACAACACAGTTTTAGTGCTTATGTACTATAAATTTTGATATTGGAATAGTTTAATTTTTATTCACTTTATTAAATTCAATGAATTGGATTACATAAAGTTAATTATTAATTGAATAATCGTATTTAAAAATCAATTTAATAATCATATTTAAAAAGCAATTTAAAAAGTCAATTTGGATATTAACTTGTATCATATTGTTATCACTTTTCATTAATTATTATAGCGTATTATATTAGTATCTTAAAAGTAGAATATAATTTATGACTGTAAAAATATGTAAAAGAAAAAACAATAGGAATTTGATGATTAAAATTTTTAATGAATTTTAGGACTGTGTGTCATAATATTATTAAACATTCTATAATAATGATCAAATGATAAAATTTCTTCTACATTACGAATCATGAATTTTGCAAACTTTTCTGCCTCCGATTCACTTTTTCTCTCAGATACGTATTGCGAATTGATAAAATAAAAGTTCGTTTAGATAGTCAATAATTGAAACATCATCAAAATAATACATATTAAGCCAATCAGTACTTTTTATTTTTTCTTCTAATTCTTCCATTTTTTCGTTTATTTTGCTTTTATCTAATTTACAGAAGATTATGTGATTGTCATCTTTATTTTTGAAATCTTTAATTCCTTTCTTCAAATTTATATAGTCTTCTATATTATTAATTTTTTTATTC